TTTTGTGAATAAGAAAATATAATGAAAAGAAAAGCTAAGTGAAGTCCGGCCTATGTGATGTTGACAACAACACATGAGCTTCAAGAAGGCGGATGTATTTCTATCAAAAGTTATTGTAAAATTTCTCCTTGGACTCTTTGACAGATGAATTCTCTTTCCGACAATTCTGATATTTTTGGTACAACATCTGCTCATAATTTGGTGGTAAGAAATTAGAATTCAATAGCCGTTTCATCTTGTACAACGACCACACAGGCTGTTTTCCTTGCCTCCTCCAGTTAATCTGTGTTTGTTTCTACCAAGCTGAAGCCCATTCTTTAAATTTAAAGGCTACAAGCGGAACTTGCTTGATCTCGGGTATCTCAAAATAGTCGAAAAAGTCTTCAACTTCTTCAAGCCAGTCCAAGACATCTTCAATATCAAGTCGGCCATTAAAAGACAGAAGGTCATTTTTCATCCGAAAATCTCTATGATTTGCTTCTACCCCTTGATCTCCATGTGCTAGAACAATACTTTCAATCCGATCATCGCTCGAATTAGACCAGGCGTCTTGTTGAAACTGGCACTCATTATTAGCACGCTGAAGATGACCACATTGATTTTCAGCCCTTTGTCATGGCTGATTCACACCATCAGGTTGGTCCAGATCATGCCTATTACAAACCTGCACACGATTCATGGCTTTAGTTAGACGTTCAACTGCCATCTTAATCTCCTGTTTGAGTTCCTGACGCAATTGCGAACATTCTTCCACCTGATCACTGTCCAGGGAGAATGGCTCTGATACCGGACACAGCGGATCAATGAAAGCAATTAAAATAAATAAGAATAGCAACGTATTCTTTAAACACTCGAATCCATGAGAAGAGGTTGAGAGAAACTCTTGATTTTCTGATATTGATAAAAGTAAATAACTGATCCCTAAACTATTACAAAAGCATGTATTTATAGACCTAAGCAAATCCTCCACTATATAGGAAATTAAATAATGGAAACTTTCCTAAAACAAACACAACTATTTAGAAAATTAAAACAATGAAAACTTTCCTAAAACAAAAAAATTGATACTAGAAAACACTGTTCATGCAACTGTTCTCATGTACTACATCAGGGACTGCTCGAAAATATGATATTACATACTGCTGCAAAGTTATTGCCAGGTGGTGGACAGCAGAAGGTAAGCTGAGGAGATCAATCAATGAGTGTTGATAGTTGAACATCAATTGACAAATCAATTGCAGATTTAGAGATTATTGTGTTGTCACATTAATTATCATCTCTTTTGTTTTTGGCAAATTCAATATAATATATATATATATATATATATATTCTTGATTGTTTTCTAAATGGTTTGGCTATGGGATGCAGAGGAAGAGAGCATTGATATGATTTTGTCAGATTTGAAGTGACTAGTTTTACTTATTTTTTTCTTGCAAGGAAAATTCAAGTGATTAGATATTGTAATCAGAAGGCCATATCTTCCTCTTTACATCGCATAAGAGACTCCCTGTAATTTGCTTATGTTAGTGATGAAGCTTTACACATCGAAAATTTGCACTAGGAGGTGCTGCTGATGCATTCAAAAGCTATAACTTCTCTTGAACCCACCAGGACTTCAGCTTGCAGATAAGAACTTAATTATTCTAGAGAAAAAGATATATATATAGATATATATATAGAGAGAGTAGACTTAGACAGTTTAGACAGATACAACGGAGACCTATAAATGTGCCCGTAAGAAGAGGAAAACTAATTTCCATAGAAGGTAAGAGGCGGAGAGGGCAACCAAAAATAACATGGGATGAAGTTATTAGAAAAGACTTAAAGAAGCTAAACATATCGAGTGAAATGGCATGTAATAGAAAAGAATGGAGAAAGAGAATTCATGTGGCCGACCCAATACACATGAAGATTAAGGCAAGGATGATGATGATGATGATATTATGTATATATATATATATAGAGAGAGAGAGAGAGGGGGGGGGGGGAGGACCTAGAAGTTGTAGGTGGGGTCACAATACCTGCTGTTTATGGTTGCATCAACTGTGGAAGCAGGCAAGGGGTGCAGCAGAAAATATAGTAGGTTATAAGTGGTCATTTACAGGATGAGCTAGATGGAAACGTTAATTTGGCAGTAAATCGTGTTGTCAATCCGGTTGGTAAGACTCCAATGGAAAAAAAAAAAAACAAACTTGTGAATGCAGGATGTCAGAATGGTGATGATACCAACCAAGACATACAGAATGTGGGAAGCTGCTTATGCTACCACAACCCACTGTCTTTGGGCTACCAAAACACACTTTCTAAAATGTGATTTGGGGATGTAATTTACACTTTCAACCTAAAAGATAGATAAGAGATGTGCATATGCATGAAGAGACATCTCTCTAAGAAGTTCATCTAATTTCTTCAATATTAGTATTTAGTTATTAAATTTCAATTTATTGAAGTCAAATATATCTAAACATTGCTCAAGAGATTCTTTGGACACTGTATCCTTGAATTAGGCAGACACTCTCACAGAAAAGAGTAAAGTTGACATTTCAACCTGAAGATTCACTTTTACATATTTACAGCCAAACAGAGATAAAATCACTTTTGACAGCCAACAGCACCTCTGGAAATCAGAATTCAAAGACTAAGCTGATTCTCAGTAAAATAACTTCTCTCACAATCATTCCAAGCAAGGTCATAAATTCCAGACATTACAGGACGACACAGTTGCGTTGTAACAGACTCAGCTGAGTCATTCTTGTTATTGGCTGTCAAATTGGTTAAAATAAATTCACAAGAAACTAGGACAGGACTTGGTGGGAATCGGGTGCGACTTAGTGGTACTCAGCCAAGTCTTCTCAGTAAAAGTCGTTACTTCACTGTTACCACCGAGTCAACAGTCCAATCCTTATTCACTTTTACCTCAATTTCTTCCCATTCTCTCCCTCACTAACAGCTTTTGTTTACCCCCAAAGTCCAACTCAAACCAAACCCCAGATATCTGAATCAAATATATACATATATATATATATATATATATATATATATATATATGGTATGGATCTCAAATAGATCTATAAACTTTGCTCATGAATCTAGGCCAGACCAAATCTACCAATTTTTCAATCTTTGCAATTTTAATCAAAGGCATGAGCATTTCAGACTTTCATAGTATCATAGAATCACATAAATAATGCTTACTTGGGGTTACAAACTTATGGATTACAAATACGATTTAAATACTAATTTTAAAATTTTAAGATACTTCTATAATCTGCTATATTTTATTTCTGATTTTCTAATTTAATGGTATAGCTTCCCAATTTTAGTATTTCAAAATTAAATTTTACGAACACATTACACGTTGTATATTGTATGTGTGCAACCTGTAACTTCTACATACATAACTCGCATAAATTATTGTACATAAATTAGATTTTGTAGAATATTTTTGAAAGATAGAAAATTTTTTAAAATAAATAAAAAAAATCATAAAAATTGAAAAATTATTAACAAATCAGAAAATTGTTTATACATTTTATAATGCCATAATATTATAATCTATAATTTAAGTTATTTAACTATGTCTATACTCTATAATTTAACCTAACTATTGTGCCAGATACCCCTCATTTTCAAATTCCATTTCAATCACAAAACAATTATATGTATACTAAATTGTTGCTTTAACGTCCTTTATTAGGTAATTTTTTTATTTATTTTACAGCTAAGTGCATTTGGAATCATAAATTAAGTCTGCTTTTAAAAACAATATATATATATATATAAAGCATAAATTAAGTAAAAGCTATAAATTAGGAAGTTATTACTGCTCGCAGAGACTTATGATATAGCCTGTTAGCTTCTTATTATATCAACTTTAAGAAAACGTCAAAATCCATTAAAAATAATATAAAGTATAAACCCATATTCATTAGATTCAGCAGTTAAAACTTCAATATCGGTTTAATTAGTGACATCAAAAAAATTTCACGACTGTGATTTCAAAAAGATTTCACGAAACTGTAATTTAAATTCCATTACAACACACAACAGTCAAACCGCGAATGCTAATTTTTTTTTTTTTTTTTGGTAAGTAAGATTTCATAAAAGGCGCTCAAGAGAGGAGCATTCCCAAAGAATACACAAAACGCCAAAGGCGACAACTAAAGCTTTAAGCTGTCCACAAAATCCAAAAGATCCCCCAAAGATTAACAATTATGCCATTAACCCAAAAAAATATGAAGTATGCAGTATGCTATACTTGAGAGACCAAATAGGAGTCTCTTCTCCCTCAATAGATCTCCTACTGCTCTCACACCACAAACCCAACCAATCCACCATAAACAAAGGGGAGCGACCCTCCAAACAACCCTGTCTCAGCTCTGCACAAGACATCCTTTCCAAGCCACAATCGTATCCAAAGTAGACCTTGGGAACACCCAAGAAATGCCAAAAGCAACCAAAATCATGCACCAAACATCCCTCGCTATTTTTAAAACCTAGATTACATGAAATCACTTCTGCAAAACCTGAACAACACAAAGCATGTACAACCATATTGATATTAGTGTGGTAGGACATAGCCAAACGGAAGAGCTCTTGGTGAATGATCTAATCAATTGGAAGAGCTCTTAGTAAATAATCTAGTAGTGTTCTTTCATCCTAGTAAATACCCCGGAGTTCAAGGAGGATACAAAAGTGCAAGAACACAATTGACAAAGCTAAAAAAGCACCAAAGACTATTATACTAATAGCACCATCACAAAAGTTGCTTATTCAAAACAAAATAATAATAATACTAATAATAATATTCAACATCTCCTATATTCAGATACACAATTTAAAGAAGACTAGGTTGAAAGGGTGATAGCACCAAGGAATTAGTTACAGCATACATACAAATCAATATACAGTCAGTGTTGGAATTTGCATTGTAACAGTACAGTGCCTTGAGAAACAAAGAAAGACGAGCAAAAGATGGTATTCAGTAATAAAAATATTACCAAATTTTTCTTTGACTCTGCTGAAGTCATAGATGACTTCAACCTTGCACACAATTCCTGAATAAAAGTGCTGTCATCTTTCAACAAAGAAACAACCTATGACAAAACAAAATAATCAGGAGCAGGAAAAAAAACATGGCTTAAAATGTGTGGAACAAGGTAACCTGAAAATCTTACAACGGCATTATTCGAATGAATTATGGAATTGAGACTTGCAATTGTTGCCTCATCCGATAATCTAGGCAAAATAACATCCTAGAAGAGAGGTACTATAAGATTAGAATCACATCACAGAAACAAGCAAGTAATCTACAGGGACACAACATTGAAGATCTTACTTTCAAATAACTGACTCTGTATGTCTGGTGTATCTTTGACAGAACAATCGGATTTTTAATTGGTATGGCCTATACACATGCCCAAAATAAATCAATATACAGTTGCCAAGGCAATATTTTGATATTCAAAAAAAGAAAACTTGACTAGATAAGAATGAAAACTTTCCTCCAATCACTCAGCCACCTTTCTAAAATAAGAAAAAATGAAGAAACACGCCACACAATGTACCTCCTTAAAGACCACATGGTCTTTCAGAAAACTGCGGTGGTGTTGGACAACAGGTACCTCAGGATCATCTGAAGACCAAATTCAAAGCAGTTCAACATTATAATAGCAACAAGAGAAGGCAATGGACCAAGGCAATTATGAACTGAAAAACAAAAAAAACATATTTGTATTCTTGCGAATAAATCGTGGAATTAGCTGTTGCTATTTTTGTTCTTTGTTTTTTCTTTTCCTTCTTTTAGCCAAGAGGTATTTGAAAAACAATCTAAAAAATAGTGCGACTATACAAACAAAGCGAATTCATGTGATGAAAGAAAAGCATTTTGAAGAATTAAAATTTAAATAAATAAATAAAAAAATTTAAATAAAAAAATTGTTCCAATAGAACAATTAGTGCGACTATATATACTTCACTGGCTTCATATTAAAAGAGCATTATAAAGAAATTACCTGACACACATCCCGAAATGGTAGGATCCTAAGAAAGGAGGGGAAGAAAATCCCCTCCTGTGAACAATAGATCATGTTCCGTGACTTCTGTCCAATTTGGGGTGTTTGCTAAACATCCCAACCTTTTTGTGCAGTGCATCCCAAACTGGACGGACCAGGAACTACTATTCCAGTGGTCAACAACAACAACATTGGTATAGGATACCAGTAGAACACAAGAACCCAGTGTCTAACTCGTGTGAAAGAAAGAGAGACAGACAGACAGACAGAGACAGAGAGAAGAAGTGATGGTGGATTACAGTTGCTGAAGACCTACAAAACTAGGGTCCCTGAGTGGCAAGTCTAACTCCACCTTGAACCAACAGTACCCACTAACACAACAAATGCATGAACAGAGAGGGATAAGTGCTAAACTAAAGGTTTAGGGAGAAGCTCTAGAATAAAGAGAGTTCAAGATAAGTAGGACTAAAATTGAATACATTGACCTAATTTAGTAGAACTATAAATACAAGTAAGGATGTAGTAAAATTATAGGGTCAAGAAGTACCAAAAGGCGAAGACTTTCATTACCTAGGTTCGATTATGCACAAAGATGCAGGAAGATAGTGTTAAGAGAGTTCACTAAAAGTACTTGTTTCAACTATATAGAAGTTGGATAGCATTAACAATAGATTCACTAAAAGAAACTGGGAAAAGTACTTGTTTCTGGTGTAGGGGTTCTTTTTGAATAATACTATAAACAAGTATGAAATGGTGATATAAAAGATACAAATGTGAAGGAAACGGAGAAGATGCTTGGTGAAGGAGGAGAAGAAGACCAGTCTTCAAGATTAAGAAGGAGGTAGGGCAAATATACAGTACTTATGACAACTCTTTTCTGGTGTGGTATTCCTTCATGTGATAGTGTTATTTATAGGTCTAGATTATGCTAGTTATTAACTAGCAGCCCCTCGCGTGTTTGGCCCCTAACCATGATCACATGGATAGTCCTGATAAGCTAGGAGCCTAAGAGGTCCAATCCTTTCATCAAGCCATGCATTATGCTGTGTTTTCCCCCATTTAGGACATTAAATGCTTTTTGTTCTTGCTTGGTCGTCGGTTGGCCAGCCTGTCATAGCATTAAATATGATTTTAAGGTTTGCTGTCATAATGTATATATTTCCATCATCTCGTTGACCGAGCCTCACTGGGAGCAGAGGTGCTTCTTTACTTCTCATCCACCAATCCAAGTTCCTTCTAAGTTTCCCAAAGTGAAGTCCTCTGTAGCTGCGAAGGCCTACCTTCGTTTCGTGCTATGTTTGGACTTGCGTAGCAATTTGCTGACGAGCTCTTTGGGGCTTTAACGTCTCGAGGTACTGCGAGGCTCGGAGGAGCCTGTAGGCTGAGCTTCTTGATCCTAGCAACTTGGTATATTGCTAAGGTTTGGGATGCTCGAGGCTTGAGCCCTCAAGGCTTATTGAACTGGTGCAATGCCAAGGTTTGAGTCGCTCGAGGATTGGTTCCTCGAGGCTTATTGACCTGGTGCGCTGCCAGGGTTTGAGTCGCTCGAGGGTTGATCCCTCGAGGCTTGTTGACCCAATGCGCTGCCAGGGTTTGAGGTGCTCGAGGGTTAAGTCTTCGAGGCTGGGTGGCCTGATGCTATGCCAGAGCTTGAGGTGCTCGAAGGTTAAGTCTTCGAGGCTTGGAGGCATGATGTGATGTCAAGGCTTATGTTACTTGAGGGCTAAGCTCTCAAGGCTTAATAGCCTGATGTGATGGCAAGGCTTGTGGGGCCCGAGGGCGAAGTTCTCGAGGCTTGATGGTCTGATGAGATGCCAGGGCTTGCAGTGCTCAAAAGATTGAGCCTTCAAGACTTATGCTATGTTTGGTTGGAGGGATGGATTGAGGAGGGATGGATGAGGCTTTTCGTGTTTGGTTGGAGGGAAGGGAAGAGAGGGAGGAAGCAAGGAGGGATGCTTCATCCCTCCTTTCTTCATGTTTTTCTATCCGCCCAATTTTGGAGGGAAGGGATGAGAGAGAAAATGAATAACTACCAACAATATGCAATTTTCAATTTTAACCTTTACAAAAAAATTCAAATGAATATCTCCTTTTTATTATTTTATACAGTGAGGATATTTTCGTAAAAAAATATTAAAAAATCTATTTCCCTTCCTTCCAACCAAACAAAAAAAAGTTATCACCCCATCCATCCTTTCTACTACCCATTCCATTCAACCAAACAAAAAATGGAGAAGACACCTTCCGTTCCCTAGGGATTCCTCATCCATCCATCCCTCTATCTCTTCCATCCATTTTTCCATCCCTCCAACCAAACGAAGCATTAGTGTAATTTTGACTTTTGAACTTGCCACGGAATCTTGGCTACAAGGTTATGTTGACTTGTCAACATGCCATGTCAACAATTGGTAACTGACACCCACATTTAATCCCCCTGCGCACGTGATGATTCGAAGATTATCGTTGCGCGTGCAAGCCCTAAGTGGTTGCAGTCCCATTGATTCAAGGAGACTGAAGGGACGCGAAACTGAAAGGACGCACACGGTAATTAATGCGCCGCTCCAATGTCGCCTCATATGCAGATGTTCCTGAGGTAAGATTTGTTTAAAAGGAGGGGTTTGTGATTTGGAAACATTACCATTGCATACTCTTTGAAAAAAAAAACTCAGGCAGATTGGGAAGAGAGATTTTAACTTCGTTGAGTTGCTTTTGCCGCCATTGTTGCCGGCTAAGTAAGAAGGAAAGAACACAGAGAGAGCTTTTAATCTTATCGTTGCCACAGCATCCTTCAAGACATCATGGTGAAGAAGGAGGAGTTAAGCAAGAAGGATCAACTACCACCACAAGTGCCCGTGGTCTCGGAATGGCGACGCCGCGACGGGCGCCATTCTTTGGGAAACGTGATATGTTTTGGCACCGAGTAGAGAGGGGTGGTGTTGCAGGTGAACCACTGGAATTCTCAGAGTTAATGGAGGAGTAGGTGGATATTGCCTTTGCCTCGCGTATACTATCAGATACCATTTTGAGGTTCTACGTATAGCAAGGGAAGTATCCATGCTCCTATATAGACTTGGTGAATCACCAATCCTAGGCTTGGCTAGGAAGAGTGGACAGATGCGATTCTTGCAAACGAGGGATATAAGGGTATTTTGACCTCACAGGACTTCTGGCCTCGATTAATTTGTTTCGTCGCTTGAGCATCCCTCGCGATTTTGCTGGGGTGTGGGAGATGGCCTCGCGATGGAGTTCGAGTTCGCATACCTCTATTACAACGTAGGGGAAGTTTACTCCCACGATTTAAAACGTATCTCAATTGTTGGGTTTGCCCTTTCAAGGTACAGAAAACTCTGGGTCATGGTCATTTAGCGTAGAGGAGGAAGTGCTGAACCGAGATCTAACAACGGCGATAGATAAGATCAAAAGTGTTGGTACACTTTGGGGCAACAAGGAGATCAGGCGTGCAGATCAAGGAAAGGGGGCTCGTAAGTGTACCTTTGGGTCCTGGGTGCAATACTACTTTAGGGACTATCCTATGTCCAAGGAGGACTTATCTGATGAGGGAAGAAAGGGCATCACTAGACCTTGGGTGGATCATCATACGAACCTCACAGCCTATTTGTTGAGCTGGCTGTCAAGGTATGTGCTAGAAGGCACCCAAGAATATGCTACTCTACCTCGCCATCTGGATCTCGCTATGAAATTGGCGAGCGGAGTTAAAGTGGCGCTCGCGCCTTTATTTTTGGGAACCCTGTACCATCGCTTGGATGTGGTGGTAGAAGACGTTGCACGCTCTGTGGGGCGCTATGTGCAAGGATCGTATGTCTCCACTTTGTTTTTACAGATGTTTCTGTATGAAAGATTTAAGGCTAATGCCCCCATCGCCTGTAGACTTAGCCTTTGATGGCATGGGCGCGCTCCTCAAGGGCGTCTCAGCTATGCGATTGACCAAAGCTTCCAGTTTATTGCGCGACCCTATGCTGCTAATTTACCAGGCGCATTGACTATGGCAATGTACTTTGATAATGATGAGCATATTCCTGTTGGTGCCTTTCGACTAAATGCCAGCGAGGTGCTAATTTTTCTGTTGTGTACTACTCCTGGGTACTTGCAAGCATCCTGGGAGGGTAGGAAAATATTGAAGACTTACAATCCTCGCAGGGTGCCCTTTCAGTTTGGGTATGATAGAGGGGTACCCTCCCAATACGTCTTCGCAAGAGGCAAGGTATCCTACAAGGGGAGCTTTATGAGATTTTTGACAACGCACACGAGATTCCTAACAGAAGGGGTTGGTGCCTTGTTTTTGCCAGGGAGACAAAGGGTCCCTATGTGCACAGAATCAGCGCGAACGTTCTGGACTATTGAGCTTACAAGTTGGAAGGATTTTTGTACAAGTCCTGCAGAGCGAGTGAAGGCCCATGTAATATATGCTGGGGATTATTCATTAAGGCCTCCCATTGACTTTGAGAGGGGGGAATATTGTATCTTCGTGCCTCTGGCTGACCCAAGTGTGCGAGGGGAGGCGTCGCAAGGGGAGGCCTCGCAACCGTCGTAGGCAGGTGTTGTGCCAACATCTAAAGTAGCTCCAGTGGTTACTTCTGTGAGGCGCAAGAAAAAGGGCGAA